TTACAGGCCTTCTGCATCTCGACAGTTTGCTGTCGTGTGGCCAAAGCAGCAGAGTGAGAGTTCTCATCTGTAAAATTGAAAATAAAATTTAGAATAGAATTGGACATTTGCAGAGAGATACAGGATTACATTGAACCTTATTTTACACCATCAAAGTATTAAACTTATTACAGTAACTTCCTAATTCCTTTCTAATTCATGTGCCAAGCAGGCTGTAATGAGTAACTACATTGTACCATCCTCCAGGCTGTATAGTATTTCTGAATTACTTAATCTAATTTTACATAATTTTCTGTTCATAAATGATGAATAGTTGTATATACCTGATCCTTTCTCATGCTTAACCAAGCACTTCTTCTTCATGATACTGCAGCCATCAGTGAAACTATTTCTAACGGATGCCTTAATACATATGTCACAAAACATTAGCTTTTGCTCTGGGTCATATTTTAGCCAAGGCCTGCCAATTTTCCAACTATCTAGAAACTTTCTAGAACTACTGCCTTTGTTAGTAACCTGATCAGGACTATCGTTTTCCTTTACAATAGATGGTGTCTTAAAACCAAATGATGACAATCTGGGTACTTTCCCATCCCTATCACTAAAGGAGAGTTTACGTTTTCCCATTTCATCTAACGATCTATCTCAGTGAAGGGCCAAATCTGATGTGACCAAAATATGTACAAAAATATTAAAGAAAAATCGGCAACATAGTGTAAAAACAACAAAAAGGGTAAGAAGCCCATTTCGGGCCCTTTCAAATACACTAGTTTACTAAGTTATGTCTGCAGAAATCAGAACCTCGTGCCCAATTAACGACATCGACACACCTAATGATCGACCTACCGTAAGCCAATTCCCGATAAAACAACATCTTTCCTTCAGCTAACTTACCTTATTGTTCACGGCAGAGGCTATCTCGGATTGAGACAAGGGAGACATCATTGGATAATTGGCGATTTTCTTTACAGGCGTGTTGTTTAGACAGGTAAACGTTTTTGTCAAAACACAAAAGAGTTCCGATAGCTGACCTTGCCCCAGCTGCGGGAGTCAGTCAGCCGTGACCGTGTAATACACAACGATGTCGGAGCAAAATTTACCTGTGTCAATCGTTACAAATAAGTCAAACGCCAGTGATTTTTCCCTATATAGTCATCGGTGACTCGAAATGTCTGTAATCTGCATTTTCGCCAATAGAAATTTGAAATCGCCAATCACATTTCACTTTCGCCAATGTTCAAGGATACACGTATAATGTAGATAGTAGAAGGATACACGTATAATGTAGACAGTACAAGGATACACATATAATGTAGATAGTTTAAAGATACACGTATAATGAAGTTAGTTTGAAGGTTCTTCAAAATCTCCACAAGCAGACACCAGGTTCTCAATTCCAGCTATTGGAACTGACGCACCAATTGGTGGTACTTCTATTGTTTCATTTCATTCATGTCTTCCCAAGGCACGGTTGGTTTCACCATCACCAACAATTTGGAACTGCGTAACCAGAGCATGATTTCTAGGCGGATTACTGGGAAACTCATCCTCTGCTGGATGGCTGCCTTTAATCTCCTGCTGTTATGAGTATCCCGCTCGCTTTCACGCTATCCTTCCTCTCTGTTCCAGATTTCACAAAACTGACAAATTTTGGTCTTCTTGAAATTAGCCGCTTCTTTCATCTGGCGCAGTCAAGGCTTGCAGCTATCTCATTAAGGGCTTGGATATGCTGCTATTTATAGCTGCCCCCTGTCAGAGCTACCTGACATGAAGGGAGCATTTGAGTCACGTTAGCTGATGGACTGCACAGTGCACTTGCTGCCTTGTCCTTAATTCCCCAGGAAAACAAAATCGAAGGACTCAGTAGAACGTCATCAGTTGACTTCAAGAGTAAACAGAGGAAGCTAAGCCTGTGACGTGACGCTGCCGAAAATGGAACGCTACCAAAATTGGAACACTTCTCAAATGTTTGACGCAGAAATAACCAAGAAATAAGGTATTTATAAACTTTTGGCACTTTTTTTTTATCACCCCGCGTCTTCTATATTGTTTATAATGCTTCTGACATGTAGCCAAAGCATATAATGATAGCTGAAGGCATCAATAGCTAAAATATCAAGACAAAATAGAGGATTCAAACGCAGAAGAAAAGTTTCACAATTGTCTTCAAAAAGTGTTCCAATTTGGGTAGCGTCACGTTACCTTTCCCTGTTCCAGATGTCGTCCCAGGATACTTTCCTCTGTTAACACCCTCCCAGCGGATCCAGCTCTTTTGCTGTCTCATGCCAAAAGCTCTCGCTTGCCTAGCCTCCTCATCCATCGTTTTGATCTCTGCTTGAGCCACGCCCATGCGGGCGGTGGTTAGCACCACCCCATCGTGGTCTAGGAATAGTTCACAATTTCAAGGATGTCTGCATGCTTGAGCCAGGCCTTTGCTATGTACCTATACAGTCGGTGGAGTACTGCTAATCCATTGACATCATCAGCCGGGTCCATCAGTCTCTGGACGTTTCAACCCCTGTCCCGGAACGTCCTCGTGATGATGGGTCGACAGTGCCGATCAATTCACTGCCTGTCAATGGATGGCTTCCAGTCTTTCTCCTCCCGTCTACTCCACAGCCAGCATGATGCGCGTTCCGCAGCCTCCGCTAGTCTGCGCACCACCATCTTCCTTGTCCTCCCGACCACACCCAAAGCCTGAAACGTCTTCCAGAATGAGCGTACCGGGAACCCTCTACAGCCGACCTCCATAGGGAACAGCCATGTGCGCCACCCTCGTTCCCTACACTGTTCCATGAGATCTGCATACTTGGCTCTCTTTCTCTCGTTGGCCTGGTCACATCGCTCTTCCCAGGGTACAGTCAGCTCAATGACTACGATCTGCCTGGATTCGGCAGACCATATCACCACATCAGGACGTAGTGTTGTTTGTACCACGTCCGGAAACACCAACTTCTTCCCCAGGTCCACTCTCATCTCCCATGTCTCTGCCCCTTCAAGAATGCATGTGATGCCTGGTGTTGTCCTAGTCCCTTTATCCCCTGCTTTCACAAACCGGATGGAGGATGGTTTGTGCTTTCGTGGCGGACTCTTCCGTTTCCTCTCCACCTCGAGAACTTCTGCCATTTCCCTAAGCACCTGGTCATGCCTCCATCGTTATCGTCCCTGAGTCAGTGCTGTCTTGCACGCTGAAAGGATAAGACTCATGGTCCCACGTTCTTGGCAAAGCCGACATTTTGGCTCTTCAACTAGTCCCCACTGATGGAGGTTCGCTGGCGATGGTAGGGTGTCATATACCGACCGCAGCAGGAACTGGATCCTCAATGGTTCATAGCGCCACAGGTCTGTCCATGTCAGTTTCCGCTCCGGCAGCTTCCATCTTGTCCATGCCCCTTGTAACCCCATTTCTACTGCTCTTGCTTTCCTAGCTCCTTCTTCCTCTCTTCGAATCTCTCCCTGTACCATTGATCTTTTCTCCTTGTCGTCTATTCCTTATATATCTATATCTAATGTCTGCTTGGTGTTCCTTCCTGTCCTTGTCTTTACTTTTGCCAGATAAGTTTCCTGAGCTGTACAAACCTACACAAATGAAGCTGCAAGGTATGCTCAACCAACGCTACAGATATTTGCTGGTCATCCTCTCCATTGCCCCTACAAGGTGATTAGGACTTCCTTTGACGAGTAAAGGCAACAAAGGCTTTAAGAGAACACCGTACTGGTAAATCTAGGCCTTGAATTTATATTGAGTTCACTTTCATCAACCACCCTTCTCATCCATTTTTTAGTCTGTTTCATCATCCTTGTGTCACTTTCTGACGTTCAAGGAATTGTCAAACTACTTCACAATGTTTATTACTGGCTCCTCAGTGACTGACCACTCCACTCATAGTAAATCTCTGATCCATCACATTGCCTGGCTTGTTCTGTTCTCTGATCCGTCACATTGCCTGGCTTGTCCTGTTCTCTGATCCGTCACATTGCCTGGTTTGTCCTGTTCTCTGATCCATCGTATTGTCTGGCTTGTTCTGTTCTCTGATCCGTCACATTGCCTGGCTTGTCCTGTTCTCTGATCCGTCACATTGCCTGGCTTGTCCTGTTCTCTGATCCGTCACATTGCCTGGCTTGTCCTGTTCTCTGATCCGTCACATTGCCTGGCTTGTCCTGTTCTCTGATCCGTCACATTGTTCATGTAGTTGCATCTTTTTTCAGAACGTACACATGTACATGACACTGTTCTAAAATGATCTGGTATATGAAAATTGCGAAATTTATTTCAGTATGAGGCTGCTGCACTTCCCCGTCCATATTTTGAGTTTCCTCTCGATTACTTTGGATTTTCCTTAGTCGCCTCCTAGACTTCAAAATTTAGGTTCCCAACATCACTGACGGGTCCCAGAAGGATGAAACAGCTGTGTGATGCAGTTTAATTCATTTTTAAGCCCTACTGTAAACTTTGAATTATTAAAAGGTGCTATTCACTTATGTGTCTTTTGAAGAATCTTTAAGGACGAGGCTCTGGTGTGGTGTGAATTTCATACGTGCCAATGTGACCATGTCTTCTATATCCCTAAGGGCCCACCCGAATTAAACCATGGTCTTCGTTGTCATCCTCATGTCGGTCATGAAAAGTTTGGTTGACGTCGAATGTCAGCTGCCTTGTAAGGACCGCTGCTTATCTTCTCTAAAACTTTCACTCTTTTTATCATTATTGATCGTGTGAATCTTCTTTGGTAATCAATAATATTGTATATTATCACGATTAATGGACCATTTCATTGAGAAGTATAAGACTTGAAAAAAAAAAACCCAAGTTACTCGTACCTCTCAAAACAAACTAAATTATAAAATCTCATAACGAATTAACATGATTATAAAGCTGTTTCGGATCTGAAGTCAGGGAAAGACCGTACCAACAGGTTCACTGTACGTGTCCACTTTGGGTCTCCGTACTGACACAATTTGCTGTGTGGGAGGCGAGGAGTGTTGATTACAGACCAGTGTGTTCACTCTCGTTACGGTGTATTAAGACGGGTCGTCTCTATTGATCTTTAAAATTCTGACATTTTTGGTGGTGCATGAATTGGTAAGTGATCATACTTAGGTTTTGATAAAATTTAATTTCTTTCTTCTGTATCAATCTTACTTTCATTATTGTTGATGTAAGGATGATTATTGATATCTCTCTCTCTCTCTCTCTCTCTCTCTCTCTCTCTCTATTGTTTCAGTATTGTATAATAGATCGTCCGTGTGAGCTATTGTTTCAGTATTGTATAACAGATCGTCCGTGTGAGCTATTGTTTCAGTATTGTATAATAGATCGTCCGTGTGAGTTATGTTTATTTTTTCAATGTTATAATAGATCGTCCGTGTGAGTTATGTTTATTTTTTCAATGTCATAATAGATCGTCCGTGTGAGTTATGTTTATTTTTTCAATGTTATAATAGATCGTCCGTGTGAGTTATGTTTATTTTTTCAATGTCATAAAAGATCGTCCGTGTGAGTTATGTTTATTTTTTTTAATGTCATAATAGATCGTCCGTGTGAGTTATGTTTATTTTTTCAGTGTCATAATAGATCGTCCGTGTGAGTTATGTTTATTTTTTCAATGTTATAATAGATCGTCAGTGTGAGTTATGTTTATTTTTTCAATGTCATAATAGATCGTCCGTGTGAGTTATGTTTATTTTTTCAATGTCATAATAGATCGTCCGTGTGAGTTATGTTTATTTTTTTTAATGTCATAATAGATCGTCCGTGTGAGTTATGTTTATTTTTTCAGTGCTATAATAAATCGTCCGTGTGAGTTATGTTTATTTTTTCAGTGTCATAATAGATCGTCCGTGTGAGTTATGTTTATTTTTTCAGTGATTTAATAGATCGTCCGTGTGAGTTATGTTTATTTTTTCAATGTCATAATAGATCGTCCGTGTGAGTTATGTTTATTTTTTCAGTGTCATAATAGATCGTCCGTGTGAGTTATGTTTATTTTTTCAATGTCATAATAGATCGTCCGTGTGAGTTATGTTTATTTTTTCAGTGATTTAATAGATCGTCCGTGTGAGTTATGTTTATTTTTTCAGTGTTATAATAGATCGTCCGTGTGAGTTATGTTTATTTTTTCAATGTCCGTGTGAGTTATGTTTATTTTTTCAATGTCATAATAGATCGTCCGTGTGAGTTATGTTTATTTTTTCAATGTTATAATAGATCGTCCGTGTGAGTTATATTATTTTTTCAATGTTATGATATATCGTCCGTGTGAGTTATGTTTATTTTTTCAATGTCATAATAGATCGTCCGTGTGAGTTATATTATTTTTTCAATGTTATGATATATCGTCCGTGTGAGTTATGTTTATTTTTTCAGTGATTTAATAGATCGTCCGTGTGAGTTATGTTTATTTTTTCAATGTCATAATAGATCGTCCGTGTGAGTTATGTTTATTTTTTCAGTGTTATAATAGATCGTCCGTGTGAGTTATATTATTTTTTCAATGTTATGATATATCGTCCGTGTGAGTTATGTTTATTTTTTCAATGTTATAATAGATCGTCCGTGTGAGTTATATTATTTTTTCAATGTTATGATATATCGTCCGTGTGAGTTATGTTTATTTTTTCAATGTCATAATAGATCGTCCGTGTGAGTTATGTTTATTTTTTCAGTGTTATAATAGATCGTCCGTGTGAGTTATATTATTTTTTCAATGTTATGATATATCGTCCGTGTGAGTTATGTTTATTTTTTCAATGTCATAATAGATCGTCCGTGTGAGTTATGTTTATTTTTTCAGTGTTATAATAGATCGTCCGTGTGAGTTATATTATTTTTTCAATGTTATGATATATCGTCCGTGTGAGTTATGTTTATTTTTTCAATGTTATAATAGATCGTCCGTGTGAGTTATATTATTTTTTCAATGTTATGATATATCGTCCGTGTGAGTTATGTTTATTTTTTCAGTGGTGTAATAGATCGTCCGTGTGAGTTATGTTTATTTTTTCAATGTTATAATAGATCGTCCGTGTGAGTTATGTTTATTTTTTCAGTGTTATACTAATAAAGGTGCTCATTCAGAAAATTATTATCTCTAAAAAACCTTTACATACTTACCACCCCCGCCCGACACATTAACACAATTCCCCATAATAACACATGTAAGTTTACTCGCCAGGGGAATCACACTAACCTACTGTACTGAATACCTTGTCTCAGACGATATGACTAAGTAATTCCATTCCGACGGAAGATGAACATATGTCCCACTACGTACAATACTGCAATGTCTTTCTGCAGCACTGTGGCATGTGTGCTTTACAAGTATGTCGGCAAATGTCGATGTAAATAAATCACCTGAGCGTGCATCGCATGGTTAGAAAGTCAATGTTATACAGAAGTACATCAGTCAGCAGTAATGGGTAATTAACACGTTCATATTGAAGCTGTATTAGTACTACTATGTAGATTTGTGTGGTTCTTCACAACCATGTCTTGTGTGTAATGCACCGTATCTTTTCTGTTTTACCAGACACATAACTTAGCACGAAACAAAGAGCGAATTAGGACAGAGAGTGCGAATTTGGATAGAGAGTGCGAATTAGGACACAGAGTGCGAATTTGGATAGAGAGTGCGAATTTGGACAGAGTGCGAATTCGGACAGAGAGTGCGAATTAGGACACAGAGTGCGAATTAGGACAGAGAAAGCTAATTAGGACACAGAGTGCGAATTAGGACACAGAGTGCGAATTCGGACAGAGAGTGCGAATTAGGACACAGAGTGCGAATTCGGACAGAGAGTGCGAATTAGGACACAGAGTGTGAATTCGGACAGAGAGTGCGAATTAGGACACAGAGTGCGAATTAGGACACAGAGTGCGAATAAGGACACAGAGTGCGAATTAGGACACAGAGTGAGAATTCGGACAGAGAGAGTGCGAATTAGGACACAGAGTGCGAATTAGGACACAGAGTGAGAATTCGGACAGAGAGAGTGCGAATTAGGACACAGTGCGAATTAGGACACAGAGTGAGAATTAGGACAAAGAGTGCGAATTTGGATAGAGAGTGCGAATTAGGACACAGAGTGCGAATTAGGACACAGAGTGCGAATTAGGACGCAGAGTGCGAATTTGGATAGAGAGTGCGAATTAGGACACAGAGTGCGAATTCGGACAGAGAGTGCGAATTAGGACACAGAGTGCGAATTTGGATAAAGAGTGCGAATTCGGACAGAGAGTGCGAATCAGGACACAGAGTGCGAATTCGGACAGAGAGAGTGCGAATTCGGACAGAGAGTGCGAATTAGGACAGAGAGTGCGAATTCGGACAAAGAGTTCGAATTAGGACACAGAGTGCGAATTCGGACAGAGTGCGAATTCTGACAGAGAGTGCGAATTAGGACAGAGAGTGCGAATTAGGACACAGAGTGCGAATTAGGACACAGAGTGAGAATTCGGACAGAGAGAGTGCGAATTAGGACACATAGTGCGAATTCGGACAGAGAGTGCGAATTAGGACACAGAGTGCGAATTATAGAGAGTGCGAATTAGGACACAGAGTGCGAATTCGGACAGAGAGTGCGAATTAGGACACAGAGTGCGAATTTGGATAAAGAGTGCGAATTTGGATAGAGAGTGCGAATTAGGACACAGAGTGCGAATTCGGACAGAGAGTGCGAATTAGGACACAGAGTGTGAATTCGGACAGAGAGTGCGAATCAGGGCACAGAGTGCGAATTCGGACAGAGAGAGTGCGAATTCGGACAGAGAGTGCGAATTAGGACACAGAGTGCGAATTCGGACAGAGAGAGTGCAAATTCTGACAGAGAGTTCGAATTAGGACACAGAGTGCGAATTCGGACAGAGAGAGTGCAAATTCGGACAGAGAGTGCGAATTAGGACACAGAGTGCGAATTAGGACACAGAGTGCGAATTAGGACACAGAGTGCGAATTAGGACACAGAGTGCGAATTAGGACAGAGAGTGCGAATTAGGACAGAGAGTGCGAATTCGGACAGAGAGTGCGAATTAGGACAGAGAGTGCGAATTCGGACAGAGAGTGCGAATTAGGACACAGAGTGCGAATTCGGACAGAGAGTGCAAATTAGGACACAGAGTGCGAATTCGGACAGAGAGTTCGAATTAGGACACAGAGTGCGAATTCGGACAGAGTGCGAATTCTGACAGAGAGTGCGAGAGAGTGCGAATTAGACACAGAGTTTAGGACACAGAGTGCGAATTCGGACACAGAGTGCGAATTCGGACACAGAGTGCAAATTAGGACACAGAGTGCGAATTTGGACAGAGAGTGCGAATTTCGGACAGAGAGTGCAAATTAGGACACAGAGTGCGAATTCGGACAGAGAGTTCGACACAGAGAGTGCGAATTAGGACACAGAGTGCGAATTAGGACAGAGAGTGCGAATTAGGACACAGAGTGCGAATTAGGACACAGAGTGCGAATTTGGATAGAGAGTGCGAATTAGGACACAGAGTGCGAATTCGGACAGAGAGTGCAAATTAGGACACAGAGTGCGAATTCGGACAGAGAGTTCGAATTAGGACACAGAGTGCGAATTCGGACAGAGAGAGTGCGAATTCGGACAGAGAGTGCGAATTCGGACACAGAGTGCGAATTAGGACAGAGAGTGCGAATTAGGACAGAGAGTGCGAATTAGGACAGAGAGTGCGAATTAGGACACAGAGTGCGAATTAGGACACAGAGTGCGAATTAGGACACAGAGTGCGAATTTGGATAGAGAGTGCGAATTCGGATAGAGAGTGCGAATTCGGATATAGAGTGCGATTTCTGACATAAAGAACAATAAGCTAAATATAGTTACAGTCAAGTCACTAAATATTAGATAATGTATTGTATAATTCTAAAAAATGTCAAGTTTGGTGACTGCATTGAATTTGCAATAACATCCATCTGGAAAGCGACATGTATTATCGAAATCATTTGACTGCCGTTATTTCTATCAATAGCCTTTCATTCCAATAAAACATTTTGTGATTTTATATGTACTAACAATCTGTTCACGATTAAAAACATTGAGTGCCAAGTGTAGCAGATTTGATTTATTGTTCCAAGAAAAGAGGAAAAGAAAATAGCAGCAAATTTGATGCTACATCGACGACACTCGCCATTTCAGGTTTGACAAATCTAAGTATTTATGTCTTTTTCCCAAATAAGGTATAGGAACCAACAGCCAAACTTACGAGCATCAAACACGTAGATCTCCATACCCAATGAAGGAGCAGAGCTTGGTTTAAATTAGTTCATTTACAATGTTATAACATTTCGTTTCTACTATGTACTATTTTCATGTCAAGTCATGTGTTTTGTGCTGACATCAACCATTTAACCGTATGACGAAGCATTTTGTCCACAACAGCTATTCAGTCCCAAGTATGAAAAAATCGTCCACGAGCACATGATTCGTTCTCAAGTAATATCAGTAAAATACTACAGATTAACAAGCAACTTAAATTCCTTTAAAATACAATAACATTTCATGCCGATGACAGAATTTTTTTGGTTCAGTAAAATTTTCTCGTCACACGAAACTACTCCTTTCCCAATTTTAGATATATTTATCGAAAACGACAACGTAACTGTCAATGTAACCTGAAATTGTCCAGAAACATGCAGACAATTCTATCTCTTTTCTCTTTCTAACTTTATCGAGTTCTTCATCTGAAATAACAGAACTATATTTTGCAGATCCGGAGACCATGACTAGCCCGCTTATCAACGGCTGCGTGGAAGTATTGGCAGACATGTGTCATCTCTGTCAGGAAGACATATTCCGCCCACGAGCTCTTCCGTGTTCCCACAGATTTTGTCTGGAATGCCTCGACTCCTACATCTTTCGGAAAACCTCTGACACATCTGTCGCCTTTACATGTCCAGAGTGCGATCGAGTTACAAGGCCAGTTCGTCCAGATTCTGAACGCGGCTACTGGGCCGAGGAATTCCCAGAAACAAATGTCCAAAAGGACAGGGGTCTTGATTCAGAAATCCCCATGTGTCTGCCGTGTAAGAATAAAGGTTATGATGTTACAGCATCGGACTGGTGTCGGAACTGTAAGGTTTTGTTCTGCGCCTACTGCAGAAAGTTTCACGACTCCATACACAGGCGTCACGTGGTGTTTGATGTGCGAGAATACCAGCGTAGACAGGCTTTCTTCAGAGGCAGATCATTTATATCCAAGAAAAAGGAAACTAAAAACTTTGTTTGCAACTTTCGATTCGTTCGTTCATGTAGCTTGACCCGATTATTTCCAACAGCTTCCATTGTTGGGAAAGGTGTGAGGTTTGAGTCTGTTGATCGTTAACGCTACCATACTGCGAAAATTTCCATTAAACATGACTTGATCCTCCGTAACTCAAATGATAAACAAAGATTAAGAGCAAAGGGACCTGTTTAGTGTCAGTTAATGATACAAAGTTTTAGCGCGCAATAATCTAAAACTGAAAATGTTGATTTGTTCTATGGTGAGGTCGTTAGATAATAATTCTGACCTCAGATGCACGGCTAAAGAAAGCTTACCCGAACGTCAGTACAGAGTGAGGAAGCTTTATTCAGTACTCATATTTATTTCATCTAAATTTGTTATAGGGCCGAGTCCAGTCGACGGAGTATTGGATTTGGCAATGTCATGTGAAGATCCGCGTTATGTGGTTCGATATTTCCTCGGGAAGGTCTGTATCTCGGGTGCAGATCCGCGTTATGTGGTTCGGTATTTCCTCGGGAAGGTCTGGATCTCGGGTGCAGATCCGCGTTATGTGGTTCGGTATTTCCTCGGGAAGGTCTGTATATCGGGTGCAGATCCGCGTTATGTGGTTTGATATTTCCTCGGGAAGGTCTGGATCTCGGGTGCAGATCCGCGTAATGTGGTTTGATATTTCCTCGGGAAGGTCTGTATCTCGGGTGCAGATCCGCGTTATGTGGTTCGGTATTTCCTCGGGAAGGTCTGTATCTCGGGTGCAGATCCGCGTTATGTGGTTCGGTATTTCCTCGGGAAGGTCTGTATCTCGGGTGCAGATCCGCGTTATGTGGTTCGGTATTTCCTCGGGAAGGTCTGTATCTCGGGTGCAGATCCGCGTTATGTGGTTCGGTATTTCCTCGGGAAGGTCTGTATCTCGGGTGCAGATCCGCGTTATGTGGTTCGGTATTTCCTCGGGAAGGTCTGTATCTCGGGTGCAGATCCGCGTTATGTGGTTCGGTATTTCCTCGGGAAGGTCTGTATCTCGGGTGCAGATCCGCGTTATGTGGTTCGGTATTTCCTCGGGAAGGTCTGTATATCGGGTGCAGATCCGCGTTATGTGGTTCGGTATTTCCTCGGGAAGGTCTGTATCTCGGGTGCAGATCCGCGTTATGTGGTTCGATATTTCCTCGGGAAGGTCTGTATCTCGGGTGCAGATCCGCGTTATGTGGTTTGATATTTCCTCGGGAAGGTCCGTATCTCGGGTGCAGATCCGCGTTATGTGGTTTGATATTTCCTCGTGAAGGTCTGTATCTCGGGTGCAGATCCGCGTTATGTGGTTTGATATCTACACAAGAAGGTCTGTATCTCGGGTGCAGATCCGTGTTATGTGATTTGATATTTCCTCGGGAAGGTCTGTATCTCGGGAAGCAACGATAACGGACTGCATTGTGTTGCGATGGTTGTACATGTAGACGAACACGTTACCCCAATTGCTATGGTTTCCACGCGATTGACATCTCAAAACTAGTCCTGTTTAATTGTCTTTAGTGCAATTGTTTACTACACTTCAAAACATACTTTAACAAATGCAGAGAATGTTAAAAGCATATTGTCATCATCAAGGAAAGAATGCAATTTTAGCTGTATGTCTAAACTATTGAAACCTTTTGTTTCAATCTTTTTGTTACACCCACTTGTTGATAATAGACTGGTATGTAGACTGTCTTTGAATCATCTATTTTATTACATTGATAAACAAAATGTATGTGTGTAGCACTTGTTATTGTGATTCACCAATGATTAAACAAAGAATGCTCACCAGGGTCTGTTAAGTTATATACTAGTATTATAATGAAAAAACAAGGGCTTATCATCAGCAAACAAAATGAACACTTCTCCGACAAACAGTAGTTATTAAAGGATACTTCATTATAATACAACATCCCTGTGCATTATTAGAACGAAAACAAATAATAAAATATATAAAAATGTATATTTCTTCAACAATTGCGAAACAAGCTATCAGCTTATGTCAATTACTCTTGTTGACCCGGATGAAAGCGGGCGAGGGGTATTACTGTGGGAGGACACCGGAGTATTACTGTTCAAAATAAAACCTTGATGAAAAAAAGTCAAATATGAGCAAAAGAAAGATTCAAACGGAGACTCATGAAAAGAAACAAGGATAATAAAACCAGGTGAAAGTTCTGGAAGGGTAAGCGTCTTCTGCTTCCTCGCCGACTACTGCCTTGTATTTACGATCATCGAGCCGGGCAGCTTCAATGCATAAGGAAAAAAATGTTTCACAATTAGATCATTGTGATGACCATAACGTGTTCCTATAATCTTAATCATCCTGCAACTTTCGAAACTAAGGAAGCCTGCAAGTGCCATCAGTGAAAATAGTTTATGTGGCGGCCGCAGGTATATACAGTGAAAATTTCAGAAAAATTGTAAAATTGCCATTTAAAGGCTTGAGCAAAGTTACTATTTATAAAATTTACTAAAATATTTACTAAAATTACTATGCACCAAAGAAATTGCAATGAAGAAGAGTATAATGATCTTATAAAGAGTATTGTGACAAGGCAAGGGTTTACAAAAATTTCATTTGAATTTTAATTTGCGAACTTTTATAATTTTACAAATATCATTGAATTGTAGGTATTACAATAAAGGAACCTAACAAGAACAGTGAAAGGAGCATACAGTATAGAGAACCTAGAGTTAGTTGTTGAAAAACAGTTGGCCAAAATAGTTAGCCAAAATAGTCGCTTTGCATAAAGACCATGCGTAAGCAACAAGAGTGTGGTGGACTTATTTCATTTAATTCTTGTAGTCAATGATTCTTGAATCATACAGTTCAACATTCAGTTGTGAGAGGTATAACAATATATATCTATTACTTGAGTGATATAATCAAGTAATGCCTTGTACCATTGTTCAAAGCCACTTGGTAATTTTATCACAATGAATGACAAGTGTATTATTCCTAGTTACAATACAAGGTTCAAAGACTGTGACAAAACCGAACCATTGACTAGGGGTCTTGATTCACACATAATAGTTGGCTAAAATCTTAGCTCAGAGAAGAGGGGTTATCAGTGGAAACCGATTTGCAAACGATGTTAAACAAAATACCTTATAAAAAAGACCATGACCAAACAAAGACTACTCCCAATAGGATGAAGCTCCATTTTCAGAATATACGCCCGAGAATACCAGCAGTGACAATGCGGGTAATGTTGAGAGTTTCACAGACTTTATCCCACATTGGAGTGTCGACGATCTGAAGTATGCCGCACCATCTCATCGGAAATGTTCTCTATGTCCTAGTTATAATGACATCTGTGTTAATATACCCAAGTCTGCACGCCACAATCTGGTCATCAAACATGGGCTATGGTGCTCTCCTGTTATACGTGTTGGTCATCAAACATGGGCTATGGTGCTCTCCTGCTACACGTATTGGTCATCAAACATCGGCTATGGTGCTCTCCTGCTACACGTGTTGGTCATCAAACATCTGCTATGGTGCTCTCCTGTTACACATATTGGTCATCAAACATCGGCTATGGTGCTCTCCTGCTACACATGTTGGTCATCAAACATCGGCTATAGTGCTCTCCTGCTACACGTATTGGTCATCAAACATCGGCTATGGTGCTCTCCTGCTACACGTGTTGGTCATCAAACATCAGCTATGATGCTCTCCTGCTACACGTATTGGTCATCAAACATCGGCTATAGTGCTCTCCTGTTACACGTGTTGGTCATCAAACATCGGCTATGGTGCTCTCCTGCTACACGTATTGGTCATCAAACATCGGCTATGGTGCTCTCCTGCTACACGTGTTGGTCATCAAACATCAGCTATGGTGCTCTCCTGTTACACGTGTCGGTCATCAAACATCGGCTATGGTGCTCTTCTGATGCCCTTGTTGGTCATCAAACATTTGCTGTGGTGCTCTTCTGTTACACGTGTTGGTCATCAAACATCGGCTATGGTGCTCTTCTGATGCCCTTGTTGGTCATCAAACATCTGCTGTAGGGCTCTCCTGTTACACGTGTTGGTCATCAAACATCGGCTATGGTGCTCTTCTGATGTCCTTGTTGGTCATTAAACATTTGCTGTGGTGCTCTCCTGTTACACGTGTTGGTCATCAAACATCGGCTATGGTGCTCTCCTGTTACACGTGCTGGTCATCAAACATCTGCTATGATGCTCTTCTGATGCCCGTGTTGATCATCAAACATCGGCTATGTGCTCTCCTGTTACCCATGTTTGTCCAGAACATGCCACTGGGGTTTTTGTTTTCATCCTAATACTATAGTATCTTTGGTCAACAACCGCAGTCCACTACGAGATAAACTGGATGACTCCTTCCATCATTAGTAATAAATATCTCCTAGAACTCATTCCCGAGGTATCCACTCAAGCCAATTCACCAAAATTGCAGTTTAGAAACCTGTCTGATTCAGAGTGCCATGGATGGACTGGCTGGTCACTGGAACAATATAACAATATAAAGAAAACTTTATATGAGAAATGTCATTTTTCTAAGTTCGAGATTTCTAATTTTTATTAATTAACAATTTTTTTTAAACATGGAAACCAATTATTCAAAACTGACATCCTATGACTGTGTACACCTTTGTTTACCCCAACATGATTGACCGAAATTGAATTCCTTATCTTTTGGCTTTTAAATTAATTTTTGGTGCACTCAAACTGAAAGTACATGCTTCCTTTCTTTGAAAAATTGTCTAAGCTGAAAAAATGTTAAAAAAATAATACTTTTTCAATTATGAAACTATATGATTTTTATTATTTTGCAAATATTTTGATACATATTTACCACCATATTGTCAAACTGATCCTTGTTAATCAAACATATCATTTGGTAATGTACGCTGTGGTTTTAATCCTTTTTCAGATGAAAAACTTAACCCTGTCATACTCCTGTAGTAACAACACTTAATGGGCTGCAACAAGCACCCTCAGGACCTTTTGAATTTTTTAATCCTATTTCATGGGTAGTCACTCAAGGTGCTACAAACATCACCAACTTTTATTTAATTTAAGCTGTCTTACAATGGTATGGGGACATCGTGCAAATACACTGCTGCTCCAGAAAATACAGAGAAGTACAAATGTATCAAGAATACCCCGAAGTTTATCAAACCATCCGCCTGTCTGTGGGCAAGTACTGGACTGTTCATATCAATACCAAACTGGAAATTTACTTCATCATTAGAAATATGTGAACACCTAATCACTTCAGCCGAAGACAAAAAAGATCTGGGTGGTGAAGGTACAGCCACGACAAAGGATGATCATGAGAATCTTTATTGTGGCTACAAGTTCACTCTGCAAGAAAAGTGCCAGAAAGCATGTGTGTCACAAATGTACAACATACCCCAAAGTTCTGTCCAACAGCATTAAACATGGAGATTAAAAGACACACCCAGAGGCCATGATTGCATACCTCCTATTTCCTATGGTTTGTTCTTGACTGTTTTCTGTTATTACAAACTGTACAACATGACCCACAGTTCTCTCCATCTTCGTTAAATATGGAGATTACAAAACACACATACAAGAAAGTCATGATTGCATACATCCTATTCCCTACCATTTGTTCTTCGCAATTTTTTGTTTCATTACAAACTTGTTGAGACTGAAATATGAAACCATGTATAATCAGATCTGCAGGCTGTGAACAGTGACAAAGAACATGGGATGGTCAGTGCTGGATAGCCCACAATCTCTTGGGCATCTGCTATGGAATGGTTGGGGAGGCACTGAGGGAATACTTATATTCTCTTTGTGATCAATATCAAAACCCAGTTAAGGAGAGGATAGAAAGTTCATGACAGTTATAGCCAAATGTATCATAGATAGTTACAACTGTTCTATACTCGGAGAAACTGATTCTCGTCTTGCTTGGCATGTACATGTAAAACCAACCCTGCCATGTATAGATCAAGTCTTTTATAGATATCGCATGACAATAGTTGCCCTAAGGTTAGATAGTGTGTAACACGTTTTCAAATACTATAATAATTTAATGTACATCAAGAGTTTGGTGCTTGATGCAAACCTAACATTCTTTCCATTTGGACATACTTGAGTCCCCCTGCTCAGTACTGAACTAACTACAATTGAGGTTGTCTTGCTACAATAAGTTCTGATGTGATGCGGTTTCAGATTCTTCTGTTTCATTAATCTGTGTTGTTGAACATTCTTAGAAATTGTTGTGTTACATTAAGCTGTGTTGTTATAAAGTACAAGAAATTGTTGTGCTACATTAAGCTGTGTTGTTATAAAGTACAAGAAATTGTTGTGCTACATTAAGCTGTGTTGTTATAAAGTACGAGAAATTGTTGTGCTACATTAAGCTGTGTTGTTATAAAGTACGAGAAATTGTTGTGTTACATTAAGCTGTTTTGTTATAAAGTACGAGAAATTGTTGTGTTACATTAAGCTGTGTTGTTATAAAGTACGAGAAATTGTTGTGTTACATTAAGCTGTTTTGTTATAAAGTACGAGAAATTGTTGTGTTACATTAAGCTGTGTTGTTATAAAGTACGAGAAATTGTTGTGCTACATTAAGCTGTGTTGTTATAAAGTACGAGAAATTGTTGTGTTACATTAAGCTGTGTTGTTATAAAGTACGAGAAATTGTTGTGTTACATTAAGCTGTTTTGTTATAAAGTACGAGAAATTGTTGTGTTACATTAAGCTGTGTTGTTATAAAGTACGAGAAATTGTTGTGTTACATTAAGCTGTTTTGTTATAAAGTACGAGAAATTGTTGTGTTACAGAAATTGTTGTGTTACATTAAGCTGTTTTGTTATAAAGTACGAGAAATTGTTGTGTTACATTAAGCTGTGTTGTTATAAAGTACGAGAAATTGTGTTACATTAAGCTGAGTTGTTATAAAGTACGAGAAATTGTGTTACATTAAGCTGTTTTGTTATAAAGTACGAGAAATTGTTGTGTTACATTAAGCTGTGTTGTTATAAAGTACGAGAAATTGTGTTACATTAAGCTGAGTTGTTATAAAGTACGAGAAATTGTTGTGTTACATTAAGCTGTGTTGTTATAAAGTACAAGAAATTGTTGTGTTACATTAGGTTGTCTAATTGTTAAATGAGATTAAAATTGAGAAAGGTGATTTTTTTCTGAAATAAATCAATAACATGTATTACGATTTAGAATCTGATAATAAATATGTTTTAAAAAAATATTTAAATTGAAATGATTAATGAATATGAAGATAATCAAAAACAGAATGTACCTGTGAATGATGTTGTTAGATCATATATATATTGTACTTCTGACGAAATTATGATAAACAATTTACAATTTATAAAAACAAGATAAAGACATTTTTTTGACTGTTTTATTAAGTGGTCTATTTCTTAATAACATGGATATTATACAATACAGTTAAAAACATATAGGTGTATTGAAAGTCTAATATTCAGTTCATATCACAGCACGTTCAAAGCGACCCTTGGTCACTCCCAAATTGACCTAGATATCAATAGAGTAGTTAGTCTACACAAGTGACCTAGATTACCTAATTAGCTTGTATCATACAAGTGATCCAGCCAGCACTAACGAGTAGTTGTTTTAAAATTGTCGACCTTTATATAGCTGATCAGTTTAAATAGATAACCTAGATGTTGCTAGTCTTTTAAACACATGACCTTGATGTTACTATTTTGTGTTAAGCAAGGACCTAAATGATACTGGCTTGATTAGACCAATGACCTATTGGTCACTGATCAGTCTGAACAGATGACCTAGAAGTCACTAGTCTGTTTGAACAATCTAAACAGATGACATATATGTCACTAGTCTGTTTGAACAGTCTGAACAGATGACATATATGTCACTAGTCTGTTTGAACAATCTAAACAGATGACATATATGTCACTAGTCTGTTTGAACAATCTGAACAGATGACATATATGTCACTAGTCTGTTTGAACAATCTAAACAGATGACATATATGTCACTAGTCTGTTTGAACAATCTAAACAGATGACATATATGTCACTAGTCTGTTTGAACAATCTAAACAGATGACATATATGTCACTAGTCTGTTTGAACAGTCTAAACAGATTACCTAGATGTCACATCTCAAGTTTAAACAGACAGCCTCTATGTCACTATTCTATTCAAAAAGATGACCTAGATATCCTTGGTCTGTTTAAATATGACCTTGATATCATTGGTCATTTTAAACACTGAAGTGGTCTGTCTATGACACAAAATTGGCCTGTATTTCAGACATAGCATTAGTGAGTCGTTTAAATTTGTCCTCCATGGCCTTCTTGTTAATCTGGTTTTCCTTCAGCAGTTCTCGCATCTCCTCTTCCACAGCATACACCTGGTAAAATATGACCGATCATCAACACACCTGATTAAATATGATCAATCATCAACACACCTGATAAAATATGACCGATCATCAACACACCTGGTAAAATATGATCGATCATCAACAAACCTGATAAAATATGATCAATCATCAACACACCTGATAAAATATGATCAATCATCAACAAACCTGATAAAATATTATCAATCATCAACACACCTGGTAAAATATGATCGATCATCAACACACCTGGTAAAATATGATCAATCATCAACACACCTGATAAAATATGATCAATTATCAACACACCTGATAAAATATGATCAATCATCAACACACCTGATAAAATATGATCAATCATCAACACACCGGGTAAAATATGATCAATCATCAACACACCTGATAAAATATGATCGATCATCAACACACCTGATAAAATATGATCAATCATCAACACACCTGATAAAATATGATCAATCATCAACACACCTGGTAAAATATGATCAATCATCAACACACCTGGTAAAATATGATCAATCATCAACACACCTGGTAAAATATGATCGATCATCAACACACCTGATAAAATATGATCGATCATCAACAAACCTGATAAAATATGATCGATCATCAACACACCTGATAAAATATGATCAATCATCAATACACCTGGTAAAATATGATCGATCATCAACAAACCTGATAAAATATTATCGATCATCAACAAACTTGATAAAATATTATCGATCATCAACACACCTGATAAAATATGATCAATCATCAACACACCTGATAAAATATGATCAATCATCAACACACCTGGTAAAATATGATCGATCATCAACAAACCTGATAAAATATTATCGATCATCAACACACCTGATAAAATATGATCGATCATCAACACACCTGGTAAAATATGATCGATCATCAACACACCTGATAAATATGATCAATCGTCAATACACCTGGTAAAATATGATCGATCATCAACAAACCTGATAAAATATTATCGATCATCAACACACCTGATAAAATATGATCGATCATCAACACACCTGGTAAAATATGATCGATCATCAACACACCTGATAAAATATGATCAATCGTCAATACACCTGGTAAAATATGATCAATCATAAAAAAACTTGACCTTTCATTTGGTTTCCACCCTTTTGTACATCTGGTTAACCTGATCCTAGTCTCCAGTTCCTACCCACCCTTTCGTGTATCTGGTTAACCTGACCCTAGTCTCCAGTTCCTACCCACCCTTTTGTGTATCTAGTTAACCTGACCCTAGTCTCCAGTTCCTACCCACCCTTTTGTGTATCTAGTTAACCTGACCCTAGTCTCCAGTTCCTACCCACCCTTTCATATATCTGGTTAACCTGACCCTAGTCTCCAGTTCCTACCCACCCTTTCATATATCTGGTTAACCTGACCCTAGTCTCCAGTTCCTACCCACCCTTTCGTATATCTGGTTAACCTGACCCTAGTCTACAGTCCCTACCCACCCTTTTGTATATCTGGTTAACCTGACCCTAGTCTCCAGTTCCTACCCACCCTTTGGTAAGCCTGGTTAACCTGACCCTAATCTACAGTCCCTACCCACCCTTTTGTATATCTGGTTAACCTGACCCTGGTCTACAGTTCCTACCCACCCTTTTGTATATCTGGTTAACCTGACCCTGGTCTACAGTCCCTACTCACCCTTTTGTACATCTGGTTAATCTGACCCTAGTCTCCAGTTCCTACCCACCCTTTCGTTTATCTGGTTAACCAGACCCTAGTCTCCAGTCCCTACCCATCCTATTGAATATCTGATTAACCTGACCCAAATCTACAGTGCCTACCCACCCTTTGGTAAGCCTGGTTGACCTGACCCCAGTCTACAGTCCCTACCCACCCTTTGGTAAGCCTGGTTAACCTGACCCCAGTCTACCGTCCCTACCCACCCTTTGGTAAGCCTGGTTAACCTGACCCCAGTCTACAGTCCCTACCCACCCTTTGGTAAGCCTGGTCAACCTGACCCCAGTCTACAGTCCCTACCCTCCCTTTGGTAAGCCTGGTTAACCTGATCCCAGTCTACAGTCCCTACCCACCCTTTTGTATATCTGGTTAACCTGACCCTGGTCTACAGTCCCTACCCACTCTTTTGTAAGCCTGGTTAACCTGACCCTATTCTACAGTCCCTACCCACTCTTTTGTATATCTAGTTAACCTGACCCTAGTCTACAGTCCCTACCCACCTTTGGGTAAGCCTGGTTAACCTGACCCTATTCTACAGTCCCTACCCACCCTTTTGTATATCTGGTTAACCTGACCCTAATCTACACTCCCTACGCACCCTTTTGTATATCTGGTTAACCTGACCCTGATCTATAGTCCCTACCCACTCTTTTGTATATCTACTTAACCTGACCCTAGTCTACAGTCCCTACCCACCCTTTGGTAAGCCTGGTTAACCTGACCTATTCTACAGTCCCTACCCACTCTTTTGTATATCTGGTTAACCTGACCCTGGTCTACAGTTCCTACCCACCCTTTTACATATCTGGTTAACCTGACCCTGGTCTACAGTCCCTACTCACCCTTTTGTACATCTGGTTAATCTGACCCTAGTCTCCAGTTCCTACCAACCCTTTCGTTTATCTGGTTAACCTGACCCTAGTCTCCAGTCCCTACCCATCCTATTGAATATCTGGTTAACCTGACCCCAGTCTACAGTGCCTACCCACCCTTTGGTAAGCCTGGTTGACCTGACCCCAGTCTACAGTCCCTACCCACCCTTTGGTAAGCCTGGTTAACCTGACCCCAGTCTACAGTCCCTACCCTTCCTTTGGTAAGCCTAGTTAACCTGACCCCAGTCTACAGTCCCTACCCACCCTTTTGTATATCTGGTTAACCTGACCCCAGTCTACAGTCCCTACCCACCCTTTGGTAAGCCTGGTTAACCTGACCCCAGTCTACAGTCCCTACCCACCCTTTTGTATATCTGGTTAACCTGACCCCAGTCTACAGTCCCTACCCACCCTTTGGTAAGCCTGGTTAACCTGACCCCAGTCTACAGTCCCTACCCACCCTTTGGTAAGCCTGGTTAACCTGACCCCAGTCTACAGTCCCTACCCACCCTTTGGTAAGCCTGGTTAACCTGACCCCAGTCTACAGTCCCTACCCTCCCTTTGGTAAGCCTGGTTAACCTGACCCCAGTCTACAGTCCCTACCCACCCTTTTGTACATCTGGTTAACCTGACCCCAGTCTACAATCCCTACCCACCCTTTGGTAAGCCTGGTTAACCTGACCCCAGTCTACAGTCCCTACCCACCCTTTGGTAAGCCTGGTTAACCTGACCCCAGTCTACAGTCCCTATCCACCCTTTCGTATATCTGGTTAACCTGACCCTAGTCTACAGTCCCTACCCACCCTTTGGTAAGCCTGGTTAACCTGACCCCAGTCTACAGTCCCTACCCACCCTTTGGTAAGCCTGGTTAACCTGACCCCAGTCTACAGTCCCTACCCACCCTTTGGTAAGCCTGGTTAACCTGACCCCAGTCTACAGTCCCTACCCACCCTTTGGTAAGCCTGGTTAACCTGACCCCAGTCTACAGTCCCTACCCACCCTTTGGTAAGCCTGGTTAACCTGACCCCAGTCTACAATCCCTACCCACCCTTTGGTAAGCCTGGTTAACCTGACCCCAGTCTACAGTCCCTACCCACCCTTTGGTAAGCCTGGTTAACCTGACCCCAGTCTACAGTCCCTACCCACCCTTTGGTAAGCCTGGTTAACCTGACCCCAGTCTACAGTCCCTACCCACCCTTTGGTAAGCCTGGTTAACCTGACCCCAGTCTACAATCCCTACCCACCCTTTGGTAAGCCTGGTTAACCTGACCCCAGTCTACAGTCCCTATCCACCCTTTCGTATATCTGGTTAACCTGACCCCAGTCTACAGTCCCTATCCACCCTTTCGTATATCTGGTTAACCTGACCCCAGTCTACAATCCCTACCCACCCTTTGGTAAGCCTGGTTAACCTGACCCCAGTCTACAGTCCCTATCCACCGTTTCGTATATCTGGTTAACCTGACCCCAGTCGACAGTCCCTACCCACCCTTTGGTAAGCCTGGTTAACCTGACCCCAGTCTACAGTCCCTATCCACCCTTTCGTATATCTGGTTAACCTGACCCCAGTCGACAGTCCCTACCCACCCTTTGGTAAGCCTGGTTAACCTGACCCCAGTCTACAGTCCCTATCCACCCTTTCGTATATCTGGTTAACCTGACCCCAGTCTACAGTCCCTACCCACCCTTTGGTAAGCCTGGTCCACTTCTTGCTGCTTCCCTTGCTCCAGTAGAAGTATCTCCTCCTGGTGCTTCTGTTCTTTTGCCTCTAGCTGGTCTCGGAATGTATCATCAACTCTCCTCAGTTTCTCTATAGCAACACTGTGAATTACAAATCAACTATTTATTTTGTTGTTATCAACATGTAAGCTCTAATTATAATTCCTCGGGAAGACCAAATTTCAATAGATGCAGAAATATTCTTTAATGTCACCACACAAAGATATATGAAATCAGTTCTTATATCAGACTGTCAATACATAAACCATTATATAATGGAGCAAAAGATACACGAACACATGAAGAAAATGTTTTCAGCAGGAAGATTCAGAGTAAACAGTTTGAGAATAAGCAGTTCTAGTTAAAATACTGTGTTTACTCACACAATATGAAATGTTTAAAGTTGACGGTATTTATATATAGCTGTAGTAATAATCACTAGAAGTAGATGTAGAGGAATTTGAAGGGAACCCGAATATAAATATTTCCATTCCTTCAAACAACTTATGCCAGCCAAAACAGGTTATACAGTGGTAAAACTGTCCACTCTCTTGTCCATTTAAGTTAATTCCTGACCCAAATGTGACAAACTTTCTTCTTTAATGTCCTTGTGACCTATTTTCTGACCCCTGTGAAAGATATTCTTCTTTATTGTCTGTGTTACATATTTTCTGACCCAAATGTGACAAATCTTCTTCTTTAATGTCCTTGTGACCTATTTTCTGACCCCTGTGATAAACTTTTCTCTTTAATGTCAATGTGACCTATTTTCAGACCCCTGTGACAAACCCTGATAACTCACCTGGCAGCATGGACAGCCTTATCCCGTTCATCTTGGAGTTTATGCTCTTTACCTTCCCAGGTATCCCTCATCTCCTGTACTTGTTTCTCCAGTCCACCAATCAGCTGTGATTTCTCCTTCCACTTGTTGTTAAGAATACTGTTAGGAATAAGTAATTTAAAAAGTCAATATTTATATACAGGAATGACAGACATGATGCACCATGATATGATGCGACAGGATGTGATGTGACAAGGCATGATGTGACAGGATGTGATGTGACAAGGCATGATGTAACAAGGCATGATGTGACAGGACATGATGTGACAGGATATGATGTGACAAGGCATGATGTGACAGGATGTGATGTGACAGGATGTGATGTGACAAGACATAATGTGACAGAATATTGTGTGAAAGGAGCAATGTGACATGATGTGATAGGACATGTTGTGACATGACATGATGTACCTTTACCATGTGTGACAGGATGGGATGTGACAAGACATGATGTGATAGGACATGATGTGATGCGACTTAATAGACAGGTAAATCACGTAGGAGATGGGTAACATTCCGTGGAGATAGGAAATTCATCTAGGTAACAAGCCACTTACCTATGAGCTTTCTTGGACTCATCAAGTTCTCCTTGGAGCTCCGACAGCTGTTGTTTCAGCTCCTGTTTACGGTCTCTTAGTCTCTCAAGGGTGTCCTGTGTAACACAATATAACCTGTCTTAATCAACCCCCACCTAATCAGGCCTATTCTCAATGTTGGTATTTTTAATAGTAAACCCTTCTAAAAACTATCAATTTAATTGATAATCTGATAATCTTCAGGCCATCAATAGTTTAGCCTTTTCCCTTCTCAGATGAATACCTACATATGAAAACTGAGACAGAGCCATCAGACTTGCTCAATCTATTAAAGATACTCAAAGTATGATTCCTGGGTTCATTGTCCAATTTACTGCCAGGGTCATTTTGAGGCAGATCTCCTTGTAGTGGGTGGTGACTACCTAACAGAAAAACATGCAGAAGGCCTGTCACATGGTATCCTTGTCAAGGGACACATCCACGCTAGTACATGACGATCTGCAATATCAGTTTCCAGAAGAAAGCAAACCTTGCCTACAGAGTTCTGACAGACACCTTAGAAATACAAATCTTCCTCAGGTAAGGATTGGACTACAGACTTCTGATAGTCACCTGAGAAATACAAATCTTCCCCAGGTAAGGATTGGACTACAGACTTCTGACAGTCACCTGAGAAATACAAATCTTCCCCAGGTAAGGATTGGACTACAGACTTCTGACAGTCACCTGAGAAATACAAATCTTCCCCAGGTAAGGATTGGACTACAGACTTCTGATAGTCACCTGAGATTGAACAGTTCTATCTACTCTCTAGCACTCATATCTTCTTGATTCTCGAATAAACTCTCTACTCCATTATTTTCCTTTTGCTTTATTTTTGTATACCTGGTTGTCCTGAGTTACAGCTCTTTCCTCAGTCAGCTGTTCCTCCAAATTGTGTTGTATTTTTAGTGCCTCATTCCTAGCTCGCTTCACCTCCTCGTCTCGCTCCAGCAGACCCTTAAAGAAATATTTACAACAAAAGTAGACATATGTACTGGACATCAAAATCTACCACAAATACAAGACGTTAAAATCTACTACAAATATTGTACATTAATATATATTTTTATCATTTATTTTCTTTCAATTTTTGTTCTTGCGAAATCCTTACCCTTCAGGTTCCTGTGCACAACATTGCTCATTACATCCTTCACTTTCCTACAAACAAGCCTTACCTCACACAGTTACCTGCACACAAGCATTGCATCCTTCACTTTCCTACAAACAAGCCTTACCTCCTACATTTACCTGCACACAAGCCCTACTTCCTTCAGTTACCCGCACACAAGCCCTACCTCCTTCAGTTACCTGCACACAAGCCCTACCTTGTTCAGTTACCTGCACACAAGCATTACATCCTTCACTTTCCTACAAACAAGCCTTACCTCCTTCAGTTTCCGAATAGTTTCTGTCTGATCCTCCAACATTTTAGTTTTGATCTTCAGTGCATCAACTTCTCGCTGTGTTATTAAACACATATTTATCATTTTGAATTCACATACATCAGTACAATTTATAGTGTAAGTTTGGAAACATTCTAGGAACCTGTACTCAGTACATTAGGGATAATATTTAATACTTAAGTGCATTTTATTATGACAGAAACATTTGAAATTAATGTTTCAAATATGATGAAAAAAAAAAAAAAGATGAAATGTTAATTTACTCAGTGCTCAGTTCGAAGGCATTCTGTCAAAGTAAGTTTCAACATCCAGCAGACCCTTGAATTATACTAATATAGAAATAATTACAGTGCAAACAAAACAGGACTACAATAAAGTTTTATTCCCCAATGCTTGTCATTATATATTGCATATCAGTGTTGTACTTACATCAAGCTGTTTCTTCATGGTGGACAACTCTGACTTCAGGGTCTCTATCTTTGATTCCAAGCGTCCTCTGTCTTGGGCTAGAGATGAACCTGAAGAAGGTAATTTTTTTATTTGTAAAAAATCAGAAAATCTGACAAGATGATAAATTTCATAGTTGTATCACTGACTTTGAAAGGTACTGATGGGATCAGTAACATGTATGTTCTCTATACAGTAGAGTTATGTACCTTGGTGTTTCCCCAGTACCAGCAGAGTCATGTACCTTGGTGTTTCCCCAGTACCAGTAGTCATGTACCTTAGTGTTTCTCACGTACCAGCAGAGTTATGTACTTTAGCTTTTCCCTAGTACCAGTAGTCATGTACCTTAGTGTTTCCCCAGAACAAGCAGAGTTATGTACCTTGGTGTTTTCCCAGTACCAGAGGAGTTATGTACCTTTGTGCTTCCCCAGTACAAGCAGAGTTATGTACCTTGGTGTTTTCCCAGTACCAGAGGAGTTATGTACCTTTGTGCTTCCCCAGTACAAGCAGAGTTATGTACCTTGGTGTTTCCACAGTTCCAGTAGTCATGTACCTTAGTGTTTTTCCAGTACCAGCAGAGTTATGTACCTTAGTGTTTCGCCAGTGCCAGTAGTCATGAACCTTGGTGTTTCCATAGTACCAGTAGTCATGTACCTTAGTGTTTCCCCAGTACAAGCAGAGTTATGTGCCTTGGTGTTTCCCCAGTACCAGAGGAGTTATGTACCTTTGTGCTTCTCCAGTACAAGCAGAGTTATGTACCTTTGGTGTTTCCCCAGTACCAGCAGAGTTATGTACCTTTGGTGTTTCACCAGTACCAGAGGAGTTATGTACCTCGGTGTTTCCCTTGTACAAGCAGAGTTATGTACTTTTGGTGTTTCCCCAGTACCAGCAGAGTTATGTACCTTTGTGCTTCTCCAGTACAAGCAGAGTTATGTTCCTTGGTGTTTCCCTAGTACAAGCAGAGTTATGAACCTTGGTGTTTCCCCAATACATGCAGAGTTATGTACCTTGGTGTTTCTCAAGTACGGGCAAAGTTATAGAGTTATGTACCCTGATGTTTCCCCAGTACCAGCAGAGTTATGTACCTTGGTGTTTCGACAGTTCCAGTAGTCATGTACCTTAGGGTTTTTCCAGTACCAGCAGAGTTATGTACCTTAGTGTTTCGCCAGTGCCAGTAGTCATGAACCTTGGTGTTTCCAGAGTACCAGTAGTCATGTACCTTAGTGTTTCCCCAGTACAAGCAGAGTTATGTACCTTGGTGTTTCCCAAGTACAAGCAGAGTTATGTACTTTTGGTGTTTCCCCAGTACCAGCAGAGTTATGTACCTTTGTGCTTCTCCAGTACAAGCAGAGTTATGTTCCTTGGTGTTTCCCTAGTACAAGCAGAGTTATGTACCTTGGTGTTTCCCCAGTACAAGCAGAGTTATGTACCTTGGCGTTTCCCCAATACATGCAGAGTTATGTACCTTGGTGTTTCTCAAGTACGGGCAAAGTTATAGAGTTATGTACCTTTGGTGTTTCCCCAGTACCAGCAGAGTTATGTACCTTTGTGTTTCCCAGTATCAGCAGAGTTATGTACCTTGGTGTTTCCCCAGTACAAGCAGAGTTATGTACCTTTGTGTTTCCCCAGTATCAGCAGAGTTATGTACCTTACTGTTTCCCCAGTACAAGCAGAGTTATGTACCTTGGTGTTTCCCAAGTACAAGCAGACTTATGTACCTTTGGTGTTTCCCCAGTACCAGCAGAGTTATGTACCTTTGGTGTTTCCCCAGTACCAGAGGAGTTATTTACCTCGGTGTTTCCCTTGTACAAGCAGAGTTATGTACCTTGGTGTTTCATCAGTAATAGCAGGGTTATGTACCTTGGTGTTTCCCAGTATCAGCAGAGTTATGTACCTTACTGTTTCCCCAGTACAAGCAGAGTTATGTACCTTTGTGTTTCCCAGTATCAGCAGAGTTATGTACCTTTGTGTTTCCCCAGTACAAGCAGAGTTATGTACCTTTGTTTTTCCCCAGTATCAGCAGAGTTATGTACCTTACTGTTTCCCCAGTACAAGCAGTTATGTACCTTGTTGTTTCCCCAGTACAAGCAGAGTTATGTACCTTGGTGTTTTGCCAGTATCAGCAGAGTTATGTACCTTGGTGTTTCGCCAGTACCAGAGGAGTTATTTACCTCGGTGTTTCCCTTGTACAAGCAGAGTTATGTACCTTGGTGTTTCCCTAGTACAAGCTGAGTTATGTACCTTGGTGTTTCACCAGTACAAGCAGAGTTATGTACCTTGGTGTTTTGCCAGTATCAGCAGAGTTATGTACCTTGGTGTTTCGCCAGTACCAGAGGAGTTATTTACCTCGGTGTTTTCCTTGTACAAGCAGAGTTATGCACCTTTGGTGTTTCCCCAGTACCAGCAGAGTTATGTACCTTTGTGCTTCTCCAGTACAAGCAGAGTTATGTTCCTTGGTGTTTCCCTAGTACAAGCAGAGTTATGTACCTTGGTGTTTCACCAGTACAAGCAGAGTTATGTACCTTGGTGTTTCCCCAGTAATAGCAGGGTTATGTGCCTTCGTGCTTCTCCAGTAAAAGCAGAGTTATGTACCTTGGTTTTTCCCAAGTACAAGCAGAGTTATGTACCTTGGTGTTTCGCCAGTACAAGCAGAGCTATGTACCTTGGTGTTTCCCCAGTACAAGCAGAGTTATGTACCTTGGTGTTTCCCCAGTACAAGCAGAGTTATGTACCTTAGTATTTCCCCCAGTACCTGCAGAGTTATTTACCTTGATGTATCCCAGTACTGTTCTATGAGTTATTTACCTTGTTGTGCAAGTTCCTGTCCCCAAAGCTTCCTTTCAGCTTTCAAACCATTTATCACAGATTCTTGAGCTTCAACCTGAGCCAACAACTTTGTCTTATCCTGGAAAAATATACATTCACCTTTTTTCAGTGAAAATCGAGCTTTGAAAACTTGGTTTGATTCTACAACTGATTCCATGTTTTTAAATCAGATATTAGGTTCTACTTATCTAATAGATGAAAACTTTGACTTTGATATTTGTTTTGACCCACTGGACCTTTGCTTAGACAATCTTTGATCGGTAACTTTGATCAATGATAAGAAGTTTCCATACTTTGACTTAACACAAATTACTAGCATTTTTAATTTGATCTAAATTCATACAATAACAGCATAAAGCAATAATCATTTTTTATCTGTGTATAGATAAGACAAGGGAGATAACTCTTACCTGCTTCAGGAGCTCCATCTGTAGCATACGTTTCCTGGCTTCTTCAACATGACTCTCCAGGGTTATGATCCGATCCTGATCAAACGGTAACATAATATTGTTATCATACATCCTACTCAGCAATAAAGCATGGTTCATGGGGTAGAATGTAAAGAGAATAATTGGCATTCTATTAAACAGTACATAATTCAAGATGACAATAGAACATGGAACTTTTAATTATGAACTTTGAATGTTTCATTGGAGAAAATCAAGGATGACACCACAGTTACCTGGACTTTAAATAAGATGTCATGGTATGCTTTTGAAGAAAACTGTACAAAATCATCTACGCAAGTTCTTATGGATATAGTACACTTTTACCATTTAAACATATTATATTTACTTTGTAGAAATTCTTTACAGATCTAACCAGATTGATTTACAAACATTCATGCTAGGAAAAATATTTGTGTAAATTATAAAATCAGCAGAAACTTTAGTGAACAGCATACACATTTGTGTATTTATACATATAATCTGTGATCCAGTGATCTTCCAGTTCCAGATTTCACGATGTGCTATATTAACATGGCTTGGGTCAAGTGGTCTCACTAATTTCGCTTGTCCAAACTGATCACAGCAGAGATAATTGCAAACAATAGTTCAAAACTCCATTACAATGAGTTCTTAAAATATTCAGAACGGCCAGAAATTTTGAAACTTTGGTGGAATATCCCATTCATGTCAGAGAATTACAGAAAATACAGGTAAAACTGTACCTAGACTAGGAATGTTTAATGTGAGAGAATTACAGGTAAAACTGTACCTAGACTAGGAATGTTTAATGTGAGAGAATTACAGGTAAAACTGTACCTAGACTAGGAATGTTTAATGTGAGAGAATTACAGGTAAAACTGTACCTAGACTAGGAATGTTTAATGTGAGAGAATTACAGGTAAAACTGCACCTAGACCAGGAATGTTTAGTGTGAAAAATTACAGGTAAAAATGTACATAGACTAGGAATGTTTAATGTGAGAAATTACAGGTAAACTATACCTAGAATAGGAATGTTTCGTGTGAGAGAATTACAGGTAAAACTGTACCTAGACTAGGAATGTTTAATGTGAAAGAATTACAGGTAAAACTGTACCTAGACTAGGAATGTTTAATGTGAAAGAATTACAGGTAAAACTGTACCTAGACTAGGAATGTTTAATGTGAGAGAATTACAGGTAAAACTGTACCTAGACTAGGAATGTTTAATGTGAGAGAATTACAGGTAAAACTGTACCTAGACTAGGAATGTTTACTGTGAAAGAATTACCAGAGAATTACTGGACTAGGAACACTCTACCTTGTATTCCGCAGTCAATTCATTCTTAGACTCGGAAAGTTCAGTAATTCTTCCCTTCTGTTCTTTCACCAACTGTACATATAACATAAACAATGAGAAACATTACAATCAATGGTATGCTGTTTCATCTATAACTTTTGTATCCTAAAAGTCGACAATTCTTAATATAAAATACTTAATGTATAAATTTTAAAACACCAGTGTTAAAAGAAAATGTATCATAGAAACTCTATTATCACTGTTACACATGTAAGGTTACAAATCAATGAAATACATCGTTTCTATATATCTATTTCCACTGAAGATTTCCTAGAAGCAGTTTGATGTAGACTTAAATACCTCACCTTCATACTACTGTAACATTCACTGATATACTGCAGAGTCCTTTATATTTGTGGGTGTTTTTATTTTCTTTGAATTCATGGATTCATATGTTCATAAAATTTACAAAAATGTTAGCAATTGGGCATAATTTTTTTATATACATGCTCCCACAGAATTAAGTATATTTCATGGTAAATATTTGAACATTAGCAAAATTTTAGCTTCACAAAAATCTCTGCCTTCTTAGTCATATACTTACAGCAGTAAGTTCTGTGAACATCTCAGACATTTTCTCATCTTTTCTCTGGGCAACAATCAGGGCCTGCTTGTTCTCTGCATTTTCATCACTAACTCGTTGAAAGACATCCTGCACCTGTACAATCATTATCTCTAATTAGCTCCGTGTGTTATCACAGTTAATGATATCTATAATTTTATGTACAGATTGTATACTTAAAAATCAACTTGCTTGTACATCACATTTTCCAGAACAAATTTTGCTGCTCAGAAAATTCCTCTTCATTAACTGGATAAAGACCTTAAAACCTTGTCTATTCTTTAATTCTCCAAATAACCTATTGTTTACTTATGTATCTGTGTTTTCTAATGTTCTTTATATGGTAACACCATCATCAGAGTGTCCAAATTGTCTCCCAGTCTGTAATGTCCACTAGCTATGTTTTTGGAAGTTCACTTGTGACTCCCAAAGACAATTATACAGGGAAGAATTTCAGTGTTCAGTTTGGTATATATCAATTTGAAATCTAAGGATAAAGTGTAATTTTATACTGCTGTCACCTAAATTTATTCAATTCTTTATTAAACAGTCTCTAGGCATTGTACTTCTTTTAAGTATTTCTTTTCCTTTAAAAGTATTCCACAAGATTTATGACTAAATTAAACCTGTATTTTACACTGATATCTGCACATTATGATTCAAAATGTTCTTGTATTTACACTGAGAGTTTGTTCACAAATACCTCTTTAAATCTGTTGGCTTCTATCTGGAGAGCTATTCGAAACTCATCCTCCAATTCAGAGTACTGCTTTGTCAACTGGTCAACCCTGAAATACACAGAGACACATTCTAGTAGATTTATGTTAAATGTAATGATTATGTAAACAAAAGAAACAATTTGAAAAATTTATATAACCATCATATAGCTACCTTGTTATCAATGTTATAACACCCATCATATAACTGCCTTGTTATCAGTGTTATAACACCCATCATATAACTACCTTGTTATCAGTGTTATAACACCCATCATATAACTACCTTGTTATCAGTCTTATAACACCCATCATATATACCTTGTTATCTATAACCTACCTTGTTATCAGTGTTATCACCTTGTTATCATCATATAACTACCTGTTATAATAACACCCATCATATAGCTACCTTGTTATCAGTGTTATAACACCAGTCATATAACTACCCTGTTATCAGTGTTATAACACCCATCATATAGCTACCTTGTTATCAGTGTTATAACACCCATCATATAGCTACCTTGTTATCAGTGTTATAACACCTCTCATATAACTACCTTGTTATCATTGTTATAACACCCCTCATATAACTACCTTGTTTTCGGTGTTATAAAACCCATCATATAACTACCTTGTTATCAGTGTTATAAAACCCATCATATAACTACCTTGTTATCAGTGTTATAACACCCATCATATAACTACCTTGTTATCAGTGTTATAACACCCATCATATAACTACCTTGTTATCAGTGTTATAGCACCCATCATATAACTACCTTGTTATCAGTGTTATAACACCCATCATATATATACCTTGTTATCAGTGTTATAACACCCATCATATAACTACCCTGTTATCAGTTTTATAACACCCACCATATAACTCCCCTGTTATCAGTGTTATAACACCCATCATATAACTACCTTGTTATCAGTGTTATAACACCCATCATATAGCTACCTTGTTATCAGTGTTATAACACCCATCATATAACTACCTTGTTATCAGTGTTATAAAACCCATCATATAACTACCTTGTTATCAGTGTTATAAAACCCATCATATAACTACCTTGTTATCAGTGTTATAAAACCCATCATATAACTACCTTGTTATCAGTGTTATAACACCCATCATATAACTCCCCCAATCATTTTAGATGATACAGGCTACATGTATTTAGCATCCATTATAATTTTCATCGGTGATAGAAACTTAAAAAGTTGAATAAACTTGTACAAGAGTGATGTATAATTATGATAGAAATTCAATCCAACATGTTACCATGGGAACCTCATGTATATTTATAATGTCTTCCTTCCATTTACGATAAGATCCTTTTGAAACCTTCAGCACTGATCAATAAACAGTTATAATTATATATATTATGAAAGATTCTCCAGTCAGTTTATCGAGGCCACTAAAATTATCGCTCTTAACAAATGTTAGCGCAGGGAGGGTTACCTGACTGATTTCCTCAGAGTAACCTTTATCCATATGAAGACTCCTGCTTGTTTCTATTCAGAGATTTTTGTTGTAGTATTTTTTAATTCCTATTAGGAGTTATTTTGTAGAAGTCAGTGACATTTACCACTTGCAAGATTTTTTTTATTCATCATTGTTGCTGCAATACGTTTACAAACATCCTTCCATGCACACATACATCATCATCATCATCATCATCATCATCATCATCATCATCATCATCATCATCATCATCATCATCATCATCATCATCATCATCACTACCTCACTGAATAACATATGAGAGGACTGCCATATATGATTTCTAAAACAGTTATGAAAGTCTCTGTGGACCATCTCCTCTACACTACAGAATACATATCTAACCTGCTGACACAGCTCACAAGCTTTGAATATGCAATCTTATCCCGTCCCTTATCTCTAGGCATGAGAAAACCTGTACAGAATCGGTATAAAACAAACCACTTTTCAGCTCATTACTATCTATACTTTCAGGCAGTGTGGAAAATAAACCCAGAAAATATCGTAAATTGGATAGACAAAAACGGATTTCACCAATCCATATTCCCACCACTCATTTCATGTGACCTCTAGTCTCTCACCACTCACTTCATTAAACCCTACTAGAAACCCATCACTCACTTCATTAAACCCTACTAGAAACCCATCACTCACTTCATCAAACCCTACTAGAAACCCATCACTCACTTCATTAAACCCTACTAGAAACCCATCACTCACTTCATTTTACCTCTCTAGACCCCAAACTCATTTCATTTGACCTCTCCAGACCCCCATCACTCATTTCTTGTGATCTGTCCAGACCCCCACTACTCATTCCCCCATCTACCTATTATTTCATTTGATCCCTCAAAACCCCCACCTGCCTCACATTTCATTTGATCCTTCCAGACCCCCACCACTCATTTCATTTGACCTCTTCTGACCCCCACCACTCATTTCATTTTACCTATCTAGTCCCCCATCTCTCATTTCATTTGACCTCTCCAGACCCCCATCACTCATTTCTTGTGACCTGTCCAGACCCCCACTACTCATTCTATTAGACCCCTCCAGACCTCCATCTACCTATCATTTCATTTGATCCCTCCAAATCCCCACCTGCCTCACATTTCGTTTGATCCTTCAAAACCCCCACCTGCCTCTCATTTCATGTGACCTCTCCAGACCCCCACCTGCCTCTCATTTCATTTGATCCCTCCAGACCCCCACCTGTCCCTCATTTCATTTGATCCCTCAAAACCCCCACCTGCCTCGCATTTCATGTGACCTCTCCAGACCCCTAGCTGCCTCTCATTTTATTTGACTTCTCCAGTAAACACTGCCGTAATAACTAAAAGCTATTTTCTGTTATTCTTTAGGTTAAATTTAAGGCTGGAAAAGGCAGACTAAAATCTGTTACAGAAGTAATTATTATCATCAGTATGTCACTTTGAACAGCTTTTAGCTGTTAGTGTGAACAATATCTTGGTACAATTTCCTCAGGCTAACTGACAGCCAGACGCTTTTCTGATCAATTTTTCCATCTTTTAACATTTCCTTTCAGAAATAACTATATATCAATAGCCTTATGTCTTTTATTCCTGTTTCATTTCATTCAGAAGTTTACATTACAATACAGGCCTTTTGTAATAGCAATGTAAATCAAGATGTAAAGAATTAAATCTGTTGATTACAATATTTTTTTCTCCTTGACTGATGATTCTGCTGACAAAATGTTTTACAAGTTCACGGTTATTCATGATTGAAGTTGGAAGGAAACAAACATCAACATTAGTCAGGCTAATGAGACAAGCCAAATATCCAATACACACATCACACTATTAAGGTTTCCATCATTTTATTCTTCAGGCCTATATTTCAGTAGCCCTACCTGTTTGGTTCTTCATCATAACTAGACCTTTCACAATTACTGGTAACAGTCAGAACTTCAGGCTTATTACCAGACATGGACTTTTGTTGGATTAAACAGGCTTATTACCAGACATAGACTTTTGTTGGATTAAACAGGCTTATTACCAGACATAGACTTTTGTTGGATTAAACAGGCTTATTACCAGACATGGACTTTTGTTGGATTAAACAGGCTTATTACCAGACATGGACTTTTGTTGGATTAAACAGGCTTATTACCAGACATAGACTTTTGTTGGATTAAACAGGCTTATTACCAGACATAGACTTTTGTTGGATTAAACAGGCTTATTACCAGACATGGACTTTTATTGGATTAAACAGGCTTATTACCAGACATAGACTTTTGTTGGATTAAACAGGCTTATTACCAGACATGGACTTTTATTGGATTAAACAGGCTTATTACCCGACAGAGACTTTTTGTTGGATTAAACAGGCTTATTACCCGACAGAGACTTTTGTTGGATTAAACAGGCTTATTACCCGACAGAGACTTTTGTTGGATTAAACAGGCTTATTACCCGACAGAGACTTTTGTTGGATTAAACAGGCTTATTACCCGACAGAGACTTTTTGTTGGATTAAACAGGCTTATTACTAGACATGGACTTTTGTTGGACTAAACAGGCTTATTACCCGACATGGACTTTTGACAGGCTTATTACCCGACATAGACTTTTTTTGGATTAAACAGTTGGATTAAACAGGCTTATTACTTTTTTGTTGGATTAAACAGGCTTATTACCCGACAGAGACTTTTGTTGGATTAAACAGGCTTATTACCCGACAGAGACTTTTTGTTGGATTAAACAGGCTTATTACCCGACAGAGACTTTTTGTTGGATTAAACAGGCTTATTACTAGACATGGACTTTTGTTGGACTAAACAGGCTTATTACCCGACATGGACTTTTATTGGATTAAACAGGCTTATTACCCGACAGAGACTTTTTGTTGGATTAAACAGGCTTATTACCCGACAGAGACTTTTATTGGATTAAACAGGCTTATTACTAGACATGGACTTTTATTGGATTAAACAGGCTTATTACCCGACAGAGACTTTTGTTGGACTAAACAGGCTTATTACTAGACATGGACTTTTGTTGGATTAAACAGGCTTATTACCAGACATAGACTTTTGTTGGATTAAACAGGCTTATTACTAGACATGGACTTTTGTTGGACTAAACAGGCTTATTACTAGACATGGACTTTTATTGGACTAAACAGGCTTATTACTAGACATGGACTTTTATTGGACTAAACAGGCTTATTACCAGACATAGACTTTTATTGGACTAAACAGGCTTATTACCCGACTTTTGTTGGATTAAACAGGCTTATTACCATGGACTTTTGTTGGATTAAACAGACATGACATGTTGGATTAAACAGGCTTATTACCCGACAGAGACTTTTTGTTGGATTAAACAGGCTTATTACCAGACATAGACTTTTGTTGGATTAAACAGGCTTATTACCAGACATGGACTTTTATTGGATTAAACAGGCTTATTACCCGACAGAGACTTTTGTTGGATTAAACAGGCTTATTACCCGACAGAGACTTTTGTTGGATTAAACAGGCTTATTACTAGACATGGACTTTTGTTGGATTAAACAGGCTTATTACCCGACA